GGCTGCCCCAGGAGATTCCACTATGGAGTTAATTACCGATCTCATCATGGGGAATAATACATCCAGCTGCCCAGCCACTCAACCAGGCCCAGCCAAGTTACACACAACTTAACTACCACCCCCAGTCAGCGCATTCCAGGGCTACAGGCTTCCTGAAAAACACCCCTGTCTTTTCCTCCCTATCCCCAGGCTGAGGACCGTGAATCGGAGGCCTGAATGCCGCTCCGGTCACATCACTGGCTTAGCGGGTGACCTGAGATCAACCGCAGCCTCTGTGTTTTACTAAAAGCCTCCCAAGGGGCCGTTTCCTCTCCAGCCTAACTGACCTTAGTCTGTGAAGAACACTGCTGCTGTCACGTGCCATGGAGTCGACTGCAACTCACAGTGACCCCGTGACTGAGCAGAATTGCCCCACAGCGTTCCCTAAGGCTGTCATCTTTACAGAAACATCGCCAGGTTTTTCTCCTGGAGCAGCTGGTGGGTTTGAACCGCTGACCTTCCAGTCAGCAGCCAAGCTCTTAGCTGTTAGCCACCAGGGCTCCTTCCGGTTCTAACAGTCGCCCTGTCAATCAGTAGCCTGCACTCCCCACGCACCAGGGCTTACCTGTGGATTCTCACTGAAATCCTACAAGGGCAGTGTGAGGGATGGGGGTATGAACAGGGCTGACAGCATAGCTCTCAGGACTTGGCGGCCCAGGTAAGATGCTTACTGTGATGGTCTGGTGCTCGATGCGCAGCTTCTCCACTCCCACGCCATAGAGCTCCCGCAGGATACACATTATCCTTGTCTTTTTTCCAGCACCTGATGGTCCGTAGACTAACAGGTGAGGGAAGTCACCACACTGCACCTGGAGAGAAAGGATAGAACGTTGTTGCTGCGGCTGCTGCCGGCAAACGGATTCCAACTCAGCCGCCCCGTGTGAGCGACCACGACTGTCCACGTGGCTGTCCAAGGTGTCATCTTTACAGGGGCACATCTGCAGGTCTTCCTCCCAGAGCCACCGGGTGGGTTCAAACCCTCAACCTTCTGGTTAGCAGACGAGTGCTCTACCATCGCACCACCAGCACTCCTTCATATTCCCCTTGTTGTTGTTGTTATGTGCCGTAGAGTTGGAACCAACTCATAGCAACCCCTCCTTGGGTTTCTGAGGTGCTATCACTACAGAAGTAGATTGCCCAACCTTCCTTCCGAGGAGTGGCTGGTGGGCTTGAACCGCCCGCCTTCTGGTTAGCAGTCAAGTGCCTTAGGCTCTATGCTACCAGAGCTCCCTCATCTTTCCCTAGCCAGACTAAACTGCCCCAGGCAGAGCTGAACTGCTTTTAACATACCAAGTATTTGCTCATCTACTATGAAACCCCACACATCTATGAGACACAGTGGAGTGGTTACCACGCGTGGACTAATTCTATGTGAGTCCTGTCCCCAGCACAGCACATTCAAGGTCCAACAGGACGTGCTGTTGTCCTGTGCTGTCGAGTCTATTTTCAACTCACAGCGACCCCATGTGATGGAGCGGAGCTGCCCCACAGGGCACACCGAAACCAAAACCAAACTCCCTGCCATCAAGGCGGACCCGACTCATAGCGACCCCTCCTTGGGTTTCCAAGGCGGTATCACTACGGAAGTAGATTGCCCAACCTTCCTTCCGAGGAGTGGCGGGTGGGTTTGAACCGCCAGCCTTCTGCTTAGCAGTCAAGTGCCTTAGGCACTACCCCACCAGAGCGAGGCACACAGTTGGTTCAAACTAAGCATTTGATAATGAATATCTCAACCTATCTAGCCATCCATCCCACATTGTTATCTTTCCTCATGAGCTCCAAGCCATGTAAATACAGAAGACGAGTAACTAGTAAGGGAAATTCAACCTCTGAATTGAAGGAAACAACAGCACATACTTGACCTTCACAGTCAGTCGGGGGGAAAGGTAACACATTAAATCTACATGGCGTCCAAACAAGAAGTGAAGCCGGTTCATTCAACTGCCAGGGCTGTTGCTGACCTTAAAAGGCTTCATTACATCAAACAGTGAAAAAAGAAAAGCCAACCCAAACGGGAAGAAAAAAAAGAATTTTTGTTGATGTCTGCCGTTGTTGTTGTTCAGTCAATTCCAATTCATAGCAACGTCCTGTGACCCGTCCCATAGGATTTGCTAGGCCGTCAGGCGTCTGGAAGCACCATGTCAGGTCTCTCCTGCTTCAAACTGCCAACCTTCTGGAGAGCAGCCAAGCAGGTAACGGTCGCCCCACCAGGGCTCCTTCCATCCTGTATGTAGGAAGCAGAAACTCCCAAACCTGGCTCAGAATCTCCCGAGAACCTGCGAGATCATGGACGGTGCCCACAGCCACTGAGACTGGCGCCCTTCCCAGACTGCGCTCCTGGTCGCCTGGTGCCCGTGTAATACAAACGCCACAGCGGGCGGCTTTAACAAAGAGACACATATTCCCTCACAGAGGTGGCTCCAAGTCGGAAATGAGGGCACCAGCTCCGAGAGGAGGGTGTCTGTCGGCTCTGAGACAAGGGCCTGTCTTCAGCTTCTGCCGCCCGGTTCCCGGACATCCCCACGCGCCTTGGCATCCTCCTCCCATGACACGCTTGGTGGGTTCGAACCGCCAACCTTGTGATGGTATGCCAAGTGCTTTAACCACTGCACCACCTGGGCTCCACCACAGGCCGGGAGCTGAGGATTGACGAGAGTCGTGGGGGTTGGACTCGATCCCTAACAGGCTCCCTGCGACAAGAACTGTGTGCATTGGGCGGTAAACGGAGAACGTCACCAGGAAAGCAGAAAGCCAGACGCCGAGGAGGGCAGCCCGAGTGGGGGATCAAGCCGGGCCCTCCTGGCCTCTGGGGCTCATTGTGGAGGAGCAGGGGACCAGTGTGAACGCATATGTGTTACCCCACCAAGGCGGAGAAGCCGGAAGCTGCTTGGCCCTCTCTCATCAGCCCTGTGTAGACGAGAGGCAAGGACCAACATTAATGACCAGACATTTCAACTCTGCTTAGGGCTGCTAACCAAAAGGGCAGCGGTTCAAACCCACCAGCTGCTTCAGGGCAGCAAGATGAGGCAGGCGGCTTCCATAAAGACTGGCAGCCTTGGGAAAACCCATGGGGCAGTTCTGTGTCCTATGGGGTCTCTCAGTGGGATCGACTCCACTGCAGTGTGTTGACTTCGGATGGTGGTGCTGTGGGTGGCATGGTTTACGCTCTCGGCTGTTAACTGGAAGGTCGGCAGTTTGAACCCACCATTTGCTGCGCGAAAGAAAGACCTGCGATCCGCTCCCAGAAAGATGCGAGCCCAGAAAACCCTACGGGGCACTTCTCCGTCCTACAGGGTTATGAGTCGGAACCGACAGCAAGGAGTAAAATAAAAGTCCACACGAAGCGTTCAGCAGGATCGGGACCCCCAGAACGCGTAGTTTTTGAGCCTCCAGCTCTGAGGCTGGCTTCCGTAGGCACCGACAGGGCCACGGCAGCAGCTCCAAACCAGTTTGGGACGAAAGGATCACGGCGCAACGACACTTGCCCCCAGCGCGTCCACCCGCCAGGGCAGACGCGGGGACCGCGCTCCGCGTCGGCGCCGGCAGAGGTCGGGACGGGAGACTGCCCACAGCCCTGCCGCCTGGGCTCATTCTCCCCAACCTGCAAAACGGGACACTGTCCCAAAGCCACTGCACGACCGGTCGCTCCGGCGTGGAGCACAGACGCCGGCGGCGCGGGGCCAGACAACAGGCAGGTCCGGGGCCCGCCGCCGCCTGCCCAGACCACCGCCCCCGGGGCGCAAACCCTGGGCCCCGACGCCTCTGGCCCCAGGAACGCGGCCTGCGGCCGGCTCACCAGGTTGCGCAGCTGGGCCGCCTGCTCCTTGTGATAGTCCAGCCGCCCCAAGGAGCAGGGCCGGTATTTGTCCACCCACAGGCTCATGGTGCCGGGCTCCCGGGCCGACGCTCGAAAGGCCCGCGCGCGCCGCCCCGGCCGGAAGACCACACGCGTTTTCCCGCGAGTCCTGCCCGCGTGACGTCACTACCGGCTACAGAAGGGCGCGCCAGGGCGGAAGGGGAACGGAAGGCGAAGAAGGACAGAATTAGCCACCGCGATCGGCAGCACCTTCTCAGTGTTTGCATTTTTAATCAGTTTTTTCTTTCTTCTCCCCTTCTCAGACATCATCTACTAAACTGCATCGAAAATTTGGCTCTGATCGTCAAAGCAGATACCTGAGAGAAGCTATTTTCCTCGAGCCATTTTGTTCATTCATTCATTCATTCAACTCATTCATTCCACCAAAATCTATCTTTGTTGTTGTTGTTGTTGTTACGTGCCTTCGAGTCGGCCCCGACTCATAGCGACCCCTCCTTGGGTTTCCGAGGCAGTATCACTACGGAAGTAGGATTGCCCAACCTTCCTTCCGAGGAGTGGCTGGTGGGTTTGAACCGCCAGCCATCTGGTTAGCAGGCAAGTGACTTAGCCACTATGCTACCAGAGCTCCCCCAAAATCTATCTAGTATGTATCAAATCTTGTTTTTCACACTACACTATATCCAGATTGGAGCTGCTCTTCTCATTTGGCAGGCACTCACTCCATAAAGCTTTCATGAATAAATTGCAAAATACATATGTACATACATAAATGTTATGTGCTGTCCAGCAGGACCCCACTCATAGCGAACCCTCCTTGGGTTTCCGAGGTAGTATCACAGTTCCTACATCCATATATATACATAGACATATACATAGATATGGGGGAGCTCTGGTGGCATAGTGCCTAAGCCATCAGACTGCGAACCAGAAGGCTGGCGATTCAAACCCACCAGCCACTCCTCAGAAAGAAGATTGGGCAATATCAATTGGGAGATACCACCGCGGAAACCCAAGGAGGGGTCGGTATGAGTAATTTGACTGTCTTTCCTCACCTTCATTTCCTCAAGATTCTAACTGAGATGTGTTAAAAAATAATAATAATAATATCATACTACAAATTGATTTTAGTTTATTTACTAAACAATTTGCAAATCAAGGTAACGTTTGGACTACACATACATACCTAGGCCAGCCAGTCAATTCATACTCATAGAGACCTTATAAGAGTAGAATTGCCCCACAGGAGAAAGACTTGGTGACCTGCCCCTAAGAAGACGACAGCCTTGGAAACCGTAAGGGAAAGTTCCGCTCTGTCACATGGGGTCACTGTGAGTCCGAATCAAGTCAACGACACCCAACAGCTACAACATTTATTGAAAACCCCTTTCCTCCTCAACCGCACCCCAGGGTCACTCTGTAATCAGTCACATGTGGAGAGATGTGTTTCTGAGCCCACTGTTCCATCCCGTGGCTCTGTTAGTCTGTCTGTGCACGGACACCACACTGTTCTGATCACTAGAGCTTTATAATAGGTCTGGGTGTCAGGCAGCTTGAGCCCTCTTGTTCTTCTTCACTGTTCCCTTCGCCAGGCTTTGCATTTTCACATAAATGTTAGAATCGGCTTGTCAATTTTGCAGAAATCTTGCTGTGGTTCTGTCTGGGATTGCTACTTACAGTGTTTACGTCCATATTTGAACACTGTGGATTTCACCCTGTTGCCTTTAGAAACCATAAAATAT